TGTGAAGGGAGAGGTGCCAGGTGTGAGGCCAAATGTGACTTGAAAAAAATAGAGCTGATATCAGAGGAAGGTGAGGCTCAGAGCTGCTTATTCCCAAGGATTGTTTGGGTCAGGCAGGCTTAGGGATGGGGGGATGTTGATTCTGTAGCAGAGAATCTGCACAGCCCTACCACACTACCATGTCACATTCCCTCTCCTCTCACATGGTTTGTCATGGTTTGGGTAGATAAGCTGCCACATGTGGGCTGGTTTCCTCTGGAAGTGCACAGATGTCAGTAAAGTGCTGTTAACAGGCATAGAATAAAATTTAAAAAGTATGTTGCAGAGGCATAGGGCTTGAAATGCAGAGGAGTTGGTGCTGCACAACTCAGGTTTCAAGTATCTGTGCCTAATTCTTTCCAGCAGGTAAAACTGGAGCACAACACTGCTGAAGACATTGTTTACAGAAGGATAAACATGGCAGTTTACCTGATTTTTTAAGTTATGTTGTTTGTAACTTGGCATATGAAGAGATCTGAGATGTCTGTTTGGATTTTAACACTCCTAATGTAACTAAAAATGTCCTAAAGGCTCAGCACTTCCACCCACTGAGGTTTGCATAGCACAGGCTGGATATGGCACAGTTTCAAATTCCACTGAACAAAAAACCCCAAAAAACCCCCCAAGATTGGTGTGTAAACTTCTGTGTCAAAGAAATTCCTGCACGCTGGTGTTTATTCTAGCAGATTGATCTCTCTCACGCATAATATTTTCATATCTTCATATCCACTAAATATGCTTTAATTTTATTCATCTTGCAAGTTTGCTGCTGCTGTGGCAGAATGGAGGATGGGTGGCTGTGCCTGCCTTGTCAAGGAAAACCAGCCAGCACTTGAGGCATGTCCCTGCAAGGCAGGCTCAGGAGCAGCATGCCCCCAAAGCAAAGCTGAATTGTGAAACAGAGACTCTGTGGAGCCTTTCACATTTATCTACCCTGGGATTAAAGTATTCATATTTTTTAAAAAATTAAATTTGTGTGCCAGCAGACATCCTTTATGTTGCTAGCAGGCAGCTTGGATGTTTGAGGAAGAAAGTTGTGTTGAACACTGAGTTTTACTCCCTGAGAAAACAGCTGTGACATACAAAAAACCCCAACCTGTGATGAATCCCCCCAAACTCCACTTTGTTTCATTTCCTTATTTGCATTGTAAAACAGCTAAACTGGTAATGTATATTTATAATTTATATAGAGGAACATATTGTGTGCATTTAATCCAGGTATTTTTTTTTATGTCACAGTCTTTTAGAAAGTGTTGTGGATCCATCTGATGTTCCTGAAAATTGGATTTTATAGTCAAATTAGGTTCATAGATAGGTAGCATTGCAAGAATGCGTAGTTCCTGAAGGAATCATTTGTAAAACTCTGGAAGAGAAAAGAACCTACAATGTCATTTGGAAATGTCACATGACCCTGAATCATCTTTAACACCAGCATCTTTTTAAGTTTGTGATTTTTCCTTTTATCTTTTGGGACCTACACAGTGTCAGAGAAGTAAAAGCAGGGACAGCAGTTATTTCCATCCTACAAAGATGTTTATGCCTTTAGGTAAAAGACCTTGAAATAATGTTACTTTGGTATAAACCTACTTTAAATATTCAGATTTGTTTTGCAGTATGCATTCAATCACAGAATGGTTTGAGTTGGAAGGGATCATAAAACATCTTTGAGCTTTGCCATGGGCAGGGACACCTTCCACTGTCCCAGGTTGCTCCAAGCCCTGTCCAGCCTGGCCTTGGACACTTCAGGGATCCAGGGGCAGCCCCAGCTGCTCTGGGCACACTGTGCCAGGGAAGGCCTCCCCACACTCAAACAGAACAAAGTACAACTCTACAGTTATTGTCACATTTTATATTAATACTTATTTTTAAAGTAATTGGAAGTTCATCAAATAAATTTTCATTTACTGAAAAACACCTTTCCCACAGCTGAGTGCATTGTTAGTCATTATTTTTTCTTTTTAAAACAGAAAGAAAATCATTATGGGATGAATTAGCATTTGAACTCTAAGATCTTTTCTTCGACTTGATAATTGTATAAACGTTACATCAGTTATTGTGTATTGTATGTGTATTATGTATAAATGCTGTTTGAGAAATTGTCATTAGTGTTTTAACCACTTCAGTATGGGAATAGAATCAATCATGCTGCTTTAGCTTTTCACTTCATGAGAAAATTGTTGTCTTTACTCTTAGCTACATTATTCTTGCATTTAATAATTCAGTAGTCAGTCTGATGCATTTTTCACCTGGGAAAAGGGGCCAAAGCTTGTCTTTATTTTCCATGTATATTCAGTGTTGTGCTCGGGGGAATGGTATATCCAAAAATAAGACTATAAATAAGAAATCAGTAGCCTTTTCTGTCTTGCTGCTTTATGTGGGTTTGATATATGCTCCTGCAGCATTATTACTTACTCTGTTCAAATCAATGCTCTGAGCTTTCCTTTACATGATTGATTCCTTCCAGATTAGCCCACGAAGAACGTGATTTAATAAACACCACTGCTACCTGTTTGCTAACACACAGATGTCTGCAGTGCTAGACAGAGACTGTAAAATTTCTAAAAGTGCTTCAGTCAGTCATAAGATTTGGATGGTATCACTTTATTTAAGTAGGAAAAAGAAAACAGATTTGGTCTGCTAGAGTTGAAAGCAAACTAAAAATCCTTGGAAGAAACAGAAATAAGGCAAGAATTCATTAAAATGAAGGCAGATTCTGCAGGTGATAATGATATAAAGGCAAGTTGCTTACTAGGGTTTTGTCCTCTTTAAATGCCACTTTCTTGCTTCACAAAAGAAGCATTTTTCCCTTGCTTTTGTGTTCTTAAAAATTGTGGTAGCACATTGTAAAGTATCAGCAACAACATTATAACTGCTGATGTCACTTCCTAAAATACCTATGGATATGTATTTGTATTACCATTTAGTGAAAGTTTTAGCAGAAATTGGCTGTCAAGGAAGAATTTAAATGTTCTGTAGTGCTGTCCTGGGGTCCATGTAGAATACCTGATTTTTATTAGGATGTTATTTCAGTGTCACAGCTGCTTATCTGTAGCAACTCACAGGGTGCTCATGTTCTGGGCAGTGTATCTTGCAAGAGTTCCATGCAGGACATGGAAGGATTTTTTGTGCCATTTGGATATTCAGGACCAGATTTTTTTCAGTTGCTTCTGGCTGGATTATATGGACCTGGTTTAGGTACAGTCTTGTACAGTTTTTAGTTTGCCCTAACATTTTCATTTTTATCTTTCCATAATACCTCTCTGTTATCTCTAAGACCAGTGGTTTTTAGTGCTTTCCAGACAAGTTTTGTGTATAATTACAAATAGATAATGTAATGGCCTTTGAGCCTTGATGGTCTGAGGAATTGGGAAGTTCTTTATAAGATGTTACTGTGTAATACTTTAACACAGCTGTTCAGACATAGTATTTCTTATCATTAAGCTCACTCTTAGTTCTTTGTTTTTCCTGATAATGGCCTGACATAACATTATTGCTCGCTAAATTTTCTCTCTCTATATAAGGCAGAGTTTTTTTCTTTCATGCCTTCTGTGATATTGTTTTCTCTGGAGGGAAATCTCCATAGCCTCCCAGTGCATCTCTGCTCAGATGTGGGCTGCAGTCTGATACACACCATATTCCCTCAGTCTCTGTACCCAAACCAGTCTGTGGCCAGGTCATTTCTTTGGTGTTTTCTCAGAAATCTTGTGAGGTTCTATTAATTTTTCTCCAGGAAACTTGTATTTCTGATATTACCTTGCTTTCATCCACTTTCCTGGGAGATGGTTTTCCTTTTCAATTGCTGTACTATTGTTTTTAATATTACTGAGGCTTGTTGTCTTTTCTTGCTACTTTCTATTGTAAAATTAAAATGCTACTTTTGGCACAGAAACTATCATATTGCTTTTGAAGGATAGATATTATTCTTGCTCCGCCAGCACCTTGGGAAGAATTGTACAATATGATTCTATTCAGTCCACATTTTTATCAACATGGTCACCATCACCTGCAGCCATCATTCCATTTTAGAGCACAGCCTTGCAGTTATTTTTTCCCTTTTTGCAATATCAATTTATAAAGAAGATGAATGAAAGTTTCTTGCATGTTTTTGTCAGTGTGTTTTTATAGCTCCCACGAACAGTGATGGACTTGGCAGCCTGGAGACTGAAATCCTCTGTTTAATCACAGCTAGGTGTAGTTCAGCAGAAAGATGTATTTCTATACACAGCCCCTGTAGCATGTCTAAGCCTCGAGCTGGGGAACTGACCTTCTGTAAAGAGAAAAAAGCTCTCAGGCCTCTCAGCCCCTGCCTTATCTGGGAGCTGTTGAAAAAGAAGCATTCATGCCATTGAGTTTTTGTGACAGGTGCTGACATCTAGTTTGGAGTGGACTGAGAGCTCTCTTTGGGGAATTTCTTTCCCTGAGTTCCTGAGAGAAAGCAGATTCTATCCAGCCTGGGAGCTGTACATCTGCGTGCATCGAGTTGTCACATAACACTTCTAAAGGCAGTGGCTTTTCAGGCCAGCTTGCATTTAGCCCTAGGCTTGATCTTCTGATCATTAATGTCTGTGATTCTTTATTTTGGTTGTGAAAACTCTCAAAATCCAATAGCTGAGACTAGAGAACTAAGTAAAACTGTAAACTTTATTCTCCTGTTTAGAGTATTGAGATATTTTATTTGAAATCAAAGCAAAAATGTCCTCCAGAGAATCCTGCAACATTCTAAGCCCAGAGAAGACACACTGCACAGAATTGTTGTGTGTGGTCATAAATTGTGTTCTCTGAACATTTTGTAATGTTGTACAGAAAGGCAATGGTCCTGGTCATATTCCTTTTCATAAATATGTGCTTATTTCCCTGAAAATCCAATGTTAAGAAAAAACTTGCTATTCCAGAAGAAGTGCTGGCTATTAAATCTACTGGAAATATTTTGACTGGGTTTTGGGTCTTTTTGTATTTTTCAGCTAACAGGACAAGTGACTTTGCAAATTGCCACTGATCCAGTTTTGCCGTTTAATGCCCTCGACATCGCGTTAGAAGTTCAGAACAGTCTGAAAGGTAATTTTCATTAGAGGAATATTGTTCTCCATTATTACGGGGGGAAAAAAGCATCATCTAATCCCTGATACATATTTTCAATACTTGAATCATAGCCAGTGATTTTACTAGTTATATAGGGCCATTATATAATGCTGAATAAAACCCAGTTTTGGTGCTAAAGAAAGCCACAAAGTTTTTAGATTTCTTCTGATGTTACTTTGTCAATTAAGCAGCAAGGGTTAGTGTAGTGTCCTAAGACCTCTGAAAAATATTTCTGTTTATAGGTTTATGAAACTCTCAAGTTGATCTGTTAAATAGAGAAGTCATTTCTATAAAATCACACCCAAACTTCACATATCCTTCAGCAGATTGCGAGATTATATCTCAAATGTAAAGACTTTTTGCAATCTTCAGGTGCTACCCCTGCATTTCATTCACTCCCTACACTATAAAGCACCACTTTTCTGTAACACATACTCATAGAAGTACGATACCTTTTCTGTAATCTTTGCCATCCATCATTGTGAAGATGTAGGAGTCAGGAGGCAAGTATTGGTCTGGAACCAGTGAGCATCTAAAAAGACAAGTAATTTTAGCTCTGTTGTGCCACATAAACATTGGTTTAGTTCAGCCTAAACACAGCAGGGGATGATCATCAAGTGAAGTGTGGCTCAGCTGGTATTCCTTCAACTGAACATGAGATATCTTCTATTGTTCTTCCTTTTTCTTTATTTTGAGTAACAGGAAACATTGATTTAAACTGACTTTTTTTCCCTCAACTTCAGTTAGATCATTTATCTCTACCTCTTCAGGGGAGAGAAAATTATTTCCTAGGCTGTAGGGCCAGCAGGATAAATTTTCTCCCAGCTGTTCCCTTTGGAGTTTTGTTTAATGATTTTTCTCATGGCTTTCATGTCTTGTCTGTCTGTGACTTGTATAAAAGAACAGTTTATGTTCATTTTGGAAAACATTAAGACAATGGTCCTTTTTCAGTTACTTAAATGAGAAGTTGTACTTTTTTATGTGGCTCATGGGTTTATTCATTCTTGAAAGATTTTATGTTGAACAAACTTTCCAGTTCAAAGTTGGAATGTCTTAGTAAGCTGTTTCCTTCTCCAACTCAATGCAAACTGTAAATGTAGAAAAGATGAAGGTAAATCTGCATGACATGTAAAATATTTGTTCATTAGGCTTAATTTTGTGCCTCTGGGATCTGGTTCAGCCAATTCCTTGAACACAGATTTTATTACCCGTTGGACTTTCCCACATTGAAGTTAAATTCTGTGTAAATATTTGAGTCACTGTTTTTGCAATCTCCTGGATGTACTCACAAAAGGTTGTGTATACCTTGATACTTGTTAATACTGCATTTATTTACATTTCTAAAGGATTAACTCTGTAGTGTGGTGGGTGTCTGTGCAATTAGCTCTGCTAAATTCCATGGGATATTACTCAGCACCTCACAGACCATTTCTTACATCCAAGATAGTGTGGATGGCAAGTTATGTCATCCCCAGCACGTTCATATGGCTCATGGCCTGTTCTTCAGAAAGATGGGGAAGAGGCTGCTAAGTAACATGTGTTCTCTCCCCTTGCACACACCAGAACTCTTGGAAAGAAACTTTGGGTTTATCTGAAAGAAAGGGTTGGGGCTGGAGAGATTTATTTTTCTGCCTCTGCTGATGGTCGGATGTTTAACAGGAGACCTTGTGGTCGTAAATGATGGGAGATGGGGGTTCCAACACTGAAATCTCCAGGTCCCCAGGGCTGGTCAGGCTGTTGCCTGCCTGTTCACAGATGTGATATTTTAAACAAATTCATAAATAAGAGACTGCTTAGAATATTCTCATTAGCTACACCTTGCAGCTGCGTGGGATTTGTGCCTTCCATACATTTAAAATCAAGACCCACTTTAACTTGAATCAAATGCATTAATATCTTTTTAGGCCTTGTATCCTGTGAAAATCCAATTAATCTTTTGAGGTAGGCTGCAGACAAGATGCCAAATCTGGTGTGTGAGTGATACAAACAGTGCTTTCAAGCATTCCTGTAGAAGTGCTTTGTATGTATATGCAAGCAAACATGTACAATCATTTGTAGAGAAGTGTTTTGTATGTATACAAACATTTTTATCCAGAACATATTTGCGTTTTCTGCTGCAAGCTCTTAGCACTGTGCTCCTTGTAGCCTGTCTTTAAGATCTGGTGTATGTTACAGCAAGTTTCTGTAGGGGCTGATGGTGGAGATTCTCCAGCACCTCATTAGGATTAAAAGCATTCCTGTACCTTTGCACCTCACTGTCCCAGCAACAGCAAGTTCAGCTACCCAGTTTACAAAATTAAAGCAGCCAGGGGGTTGTTGTCCCTCACTTGGGTGCTGTTGAAGCTGATGTCATTTATTGATGTCATTTATTATTGCCACTCACTCGGACTCATGCAAACCTTTCAAAATTGGTGTCTGTGCCCCAGCCCTGAATTGTGCCTGTGCAGCACCAGGCAGGAGAGGTGAGATCCCCACTTGTGGCTGTCAGCACAGGCTGCTGGAGCAAATTGTAGCCATCTCTGATAGCCCCTGGTTGAGAGGGAGAGGCTCATGAAGACAAATGGAGGGTGGATGAGATTTTCTGGTTTTCCAGAAGTGCAAGAGCTGTGATTTAAAGCTCTTTGGCTGGCTCAGTGTCAGCTGTGTGTGGCTTCTTATCAGTTAGGCCCTTTCTTCTCCCAGAATGGATGTTTTACAGATGTTACTGCAGCTGAAGTACTTGGGGTGATGATACCAAGCAGCACTAGCAGAAGTTTAAAATAATCTGGTTTACAATAAGTCATTCCCAGGGAAGTCTGCGTGATTTTCCACAGCCTTGTCTCTACCCATACATTTCAAAACATCAGGCTAAACTCTCTGTCCTTAGAAAAATCAATAGAGAAACCCATCTCTCTCATTTACTTGATGGCTGCATGCTCATTGCCTACAGCTATCTGCTGCTCTTCAGCTTGGCATCATTTTACCTGCTTGACTATTTCCCTGATCATTTTGGGTGCTTTTCAGAATTACTCTCTCCTCCTGTCTGTAATATTCAGAAAATTTCACTCTTTACTGTTCCTACCCTTTATTCTTGACTGCAGCAGAGGTGAAAAATGCAACAAATCTGTATATAAGACAGAAAAATCTCTTTTGTCATGAGACACTGGCATCTCGTCTTCAGTATCCATTCAAGGTTATTATGTATTAGTACCTTTTTTCAGCCTTTAAAAGACAGTCATAGAAAAAGGCATTTTCTATGGATAAACATTTAGTTCTGAAGGGCAAGGATGAGCATCTATTCTGTGTTACAAGGCCTTAAGTTTCAGCAGCTCTGTACAAAGTTATTGGTAACTTCATAGAATCATAGAATAGTTTGGTTTGGAAGGGACCTTTTAAAGGTCCCCTAGTCCAATGCAGTGGGCAGGGAGATCTTCCAGTAGATCAAGATGCTCAGAGCCTCATCCAAGCTGGAACTGAATGTTTCCAGGATGGGGCACCCACCACCTCCCTGGGCAACCCAGTGTTCCACCATCCTCATTGTAAAAAATCTCTTCCTCACACCTAGCCTAAATCTAATTTTTTGGTTTAAAACCCTTAGCCCTTGTCCTATTTCAAAAGTTCATCACAAAGTTTCTTATAAAGCCCCCTTTCAGTATTAACAGGGCACAATGAAGTCTCCCTGGAGCCTGCTCTTCTCCAGGCTCCTGTATGGACATGCACACAGTAAAATGTCACAACATTCCTCTTTGACATAACTTCTTTGAAAAAAGGCTTGGAGCAACACCAGATGAGTTGACTTGGGGTATAGCAGTCATGGTAGCAAAATTGAAGCTGATGGCAACATATCCTTTGCACTGTGGATGTCTGTGGTTCTGCCCCTTTAGGGTGCTTCCTACAAAGCTTTCCCATTCAGATTTTCTACTGCCAGGTCTACTTATCCTGTTTGACAGAGCATGAAAAATTTTCCCTGTGAATACAGCAGCACATGATAGCTGATTCAGAATTTGCAAGCTAATCAAAAGCTGAAGCAATTTCCCCTCTCTCTGACATGCAAACACATGTTCACATATATGGTAAATAAGCATCATGCCTTAAAATGCTGATTTGTCTGTGCTCCCTTTCCTCTAAGTACTCATAGGCAAGTATTTTCATAACCGAGGGCACAAAGAGAATTTAAAACTGTCCAGCCTCTACCTGTGCTTTTCATAAGAGCAATCAGTTACAGAGGGAAAGGCTATTGTATTCAGTGTCTGTAAAAATATCTGTTTGGTGGAACTTGTTTCTGAATAGGATCCAGTTGCATTTAGCAAATGCAATGAAATTCAACAGCGTAATTCCCTGATCAAGAGTGCACATGCTCTTGAGTCACTTTACTGTGTTTGCGATTTTATTTTTGTAGCAACTAAACAACTAGCTTGGATGATTCATCATGATTCACATTGGAGACAAAAGAACAAAGAATACAAAATAAAATAATGTGGCATTGTTTTCTCTTAAACAAGGTAACACTTGTGCTTGATTTTCTCTGTAAAAGCATCACAAGGTGCTTAAGACATTATTAGTTAATGCAGGGTTTTCTTGAAGAATCATTTGCCCTTCCATTCCCATCTTCTCAGCCTGAGAAAAGCATAAATCAGTTTCCCTTGGTGGTGCAGTTCAGTGTGTGGTGATGCCTGTTCTGTCCTTGGCTGGCTGAGGTAACACTGCCCATCCTTGCAGCTTTTGAAAAAGGGCCTGGATGTGTGTTTTCTAACAAGTGCAGGTTTAGAGTGTAAAACAAAGGGTTGGTTTAAGGGCTGTGGAGAACAGCTGAGAGCATTTACAGGATGTTTGTGTTTAAAAGGGTGGTCTGGTTGGCTTCATTTCCAAATACAGAAAGATGGATTTTCCCTTTATCTCACTTTCCCTACTGAAAAGGCAAAGCTGGCGTTTGCAATTGTTTATATAAGATTCAGAACAATAAGTTTTATGTTACTTGGACTACAAAGTGCTTTGCTGAAACCAAAGGATTCTTTCTTACAGGATGGGTTTAAACATTTCCATATGGACACAAGTTCCAGGGTAAGGTGTGCACCGTGCCTGCATTATATGCATATGAATGGGAAGTTCTTCAGCTGCACAGGATGTTTGCCAAAGATTTGGAAATTAAGGATAATGATATTTTGCAAATATCTTAAATGTAGCAGGCTTATATGCTTGAAGAATATTTTTATGAGGCATCAACCTAACTTGATCAGAATTTCAATTACTTGAGACTCAGAGAGTTTCCATCCCTTTATATCAAGATGCCAGCACACCTGTTATCCATTCTGCTTAGGGAAAGGTGGATTGGTCAAGTGTCATTAGCAAAGGAACCTTGTCCCAAGCCAGGGCAGACATAAACCATCTTCTCTCACTCCTGTTCCCCTAGAGAGCTTCTGTTCATTGTTGAAATTCATCTTGATATCTCAGGAAATCTGACAGTTTCTCTCACACCAGCATCTTGTCTCTCCGTGTATTCCGGATCATTTCATGTTTTGCTAGATTGGAATGTGCTAGTCAGCTGAATGACAGGAGTATATGGGATCTATGAGCTCCTTTTCCTTTGCTGGAATGTATCCAATAGAAAGTCTCTTTTTCCATATGAGAGGGAGAATATGTTATATTCAGGCATTTCCTTGGATTTCTTAGTTATATCTGTTTGCTTTTCCATCCATATTATGTGCTCTCCTTTCAGACTCCAACCATGAATAATTTGAGAAATGGGTTGGTGTTTGTCCTGATTTTAACTAGAGTACAGATAATTTTCTTCCTAGTAGCTGGTACTGTGTTGTGGATTTAGGATGAGAGGAAGGTTGGTAACTCACTGATGTTCCTGTTGTTGTTCAGTAGTGCTCACCCCAAGGACTTTCCAGTTTCCCATGTTTTCCCAGAGAGCAGTTACAGGAAGCTGGGAGGGAGCATGGCCAGGACAGCTGACCTGAAGTGACCAAAGGGGTGTTTCATACCAGAGAAATCAGGCTCAGTTTAAGCTGAGGTGGCCAAGGAGGCTGGGGGGGCCAGGCTGAACATGGTCAGCCCAATACAATTGCTCATCACTTGTCTGTCTTGGGTTTTATATCTCTCTTTAGGTTCTCTCCCTTTTTGATGCTATATTATTACTGTTGTTATTATGATCATCATCATTATATATCAATAATCAAACTGTTCTAATTTCAGCCCCTTGGTTTTAACTTTTTGATTGTCTCCCCATTCTGTCAGGGAAGCCAGTGGGTGTGAGTGAGCAGCTGCATGGTACTTGCCAGCTGAGGTTAAACCATGTCAGTGTTCCCCAATTACTATTTGTGATTTTTCCATGTGTATCTTAGACAAGGAAAGTGAAAATTCATTGAACTTGAGTCCTGAACCACTTTCTTGGCTTAATTATCTCAGTCACTAAGGTACAGATCTCCCTGAGGTTTGCACATTCATGTAGAGATCAGACAGCTCCTAGAGCTGCATGGTTTATGTTGATTAAGGCATTATTTGAAAGATCTAAGCATAGTTGGATTTCTTGTCAATAGGTGAAGTGAATCTTGGCCTTAAAGATAATTTCTGCATCCCAGAAATGTTTGTGCTGACTGATACTGCTTTTGACTTTCTATCAGGTTCAGGCTCTGCTTTCTCTCTCCGTGTGCTTGTAAAGATGAAGGCAGTCCATGCACACTCTGGGAAAGGAGGCCACACTCTTCACCTGCACTGCAGGTGGGAGGAGGCTGCACATTCACAGTGCTCCAGTTCACATTTCTCTTTCTGGACTGTGAACAGGGAAATACTGAAATTGTGGAGTGCTCCTAGGTGATTTTATTCTTTTGCTGCCTGAGTGGGGTTGCTAACAAAGCAATAGTTAACACTCCAAGTTAAAAAGTTTTGAAAATATTGACTGGATTAGAATATGCATTAGGATATCAATTAAAGTTGGCTCATTGGCATATGACTTAAGTGATTAAGAGGAGCAATTTCATATAACCCTCTACAATTGCTGTTAACCTCTAAGATTCTAAAATGTTGAATCAAATTCAATTAAACTCTGCATATTAAAATATTCTATATAGCAGTCATTATGGAATCCAAGCACAAGCTTTCAGACTCAAGAGCAACAGCATCAAATGGCATTGAATAAATTCAGTCTCAGAAGGAAATGTTGTAGCTCTTGATTTATAACCATTGCTTCCTGCATGCCTGTTTTTCCAATGCTAGATTTTAAGCTGTACCCCAAAAATCATTCCTCACAGCTTATTAGATCTTAAAGCATCAGAGCCCAAATTGATCTCTGAAGAACAGATCAGAGGTTACACGGAATGATCTACGGCTTCCCTTGACCCGTTCGTGCTGCTCGCAGGGGAAGGAGAGGCTCAGGTTTTAATTGGACTATTAATTTTGACTTGGAAGCAAGAGTAATAAGTGGTCTGTGAATCACTGGTGACTGTCTTGCTGTCCCTGCTCCCAGGTGATGAAGCAGGCGTCCCTCAGCTGCTGGCAGTGGCATCACGTCTGAGGGACACGGCGGAGCTGTTCCAGTCGGACGAGATGCGCCCGGCCAATGACCCCCAGGAGCGAGCTCCTGTCAGAGTCAGGATGCTCAATGATGTGCTGCAAGGCTTGGAGAAAAGCTTCCTGCTTCAGCAAGCTCCTCCAGGACTTTACAGGTACGGTACACGGCGTTCCACGCGTTCTGCAGCTGAGCTAAATTGGTGTTCACCGCTGCTTGGTTCGCAGAGCTGTCTTTAAAAAGAAAACATCAGTGAGTACCCAAAATTAAAGCTATTTTTTTCCTATCACGTCCTTTCTGCAGAAAACATTAATTCACTATGATGCAAGGGGTCATTAGAATGCAGCACAGTAGCACTTCTGTCATGACATTGCTGCTAACAAGACGTATGGTGTGATGGCAGCCCAGGCAGCGTGGCAGAAACGTGTGTCAGATGGTACAGGAAGCTTTCAGAAACAGAAAATATTTTGAAGTTTAATACTGCTTGACAAGCTCCACCTATATTTTATTTAAAACTTTGTACAGTTCATTGAAGATTCAGAATTATACAAGATACTGTGTAGCATTATTTAACATATTTAATTATATAGCAGCATTCTTGGATGCATTTCAGCGAGTCAAAGGCAGTACATTCCAGTTAATGAGGAGGCCTGAGTCAGTTGCTGTTCATAACATCTTGTCTCTGCTTGGAATTATTCTCTGATATGTATTCAGCTGCACTACCCAGGTTGGTTTTAAGATGTCGTAGTCATCCCATCTTTTACTTTCTAAGAAGTCTGCAGGTCTCTGTCTCTCACCAGAACCATCTAAAGTAGCAAAACTGCACTTTGATTTCAGTTGATGGGAAAAATTATCCAGTGTCTCGTGCAAGTGGATGTGTAAAAGTGGACATCAAAGAGACAAGTGGTAGAGGTGAGGGAGGAAAGCAGAAAGCTCCAGCCACAGGAGGGATTCTTCCAGTTATTAGCAATGGTATAAAACAAATGCAGTCATCTTTTTTAAAAAAGCAAAGTGGAAAAAAAAGCAAGGTAGTTATGGGGAGCTCAAAAGTGTCAGGGAATAAAAGCCCTACAGCTGTAATAAAGAAAATAGAATAATTACATTTGGGGAGAGGCTAATTTACTTCCTTCCTGCTGTGACTGGATTTCTAACATAAAGAAATAAGCCAAAATGGGATTAGATAAAGTCTAATATTCCAGGTTTAGCAGTGCTGTCTTGTCTGAACTGGTATGGTGTTGCAAAGGAGCCAAAAACCTGTTTAATAATAATGTAATATTTATGTGTTGCATTGCAACAGCAACATTCAACATTGTTGAATCTGGCCCAGCTCCTGATTTGTAAAAATAAATTATATCAAAATTTAAGATTATAAGGAGAGGAGTTTTGACATCTTCTAATATTTCAGTTCTTGCAGCACTTGCATTATTAAGTTTGTTATTTACCAATGTAATTACTAGATATGCAAACATAATGTGACAAATTTTTCACCTGCTTTCCACAGTACTTTAGTACAGAGCAAAAGTACTTTCACACTGGCAAAGCAGACATGGTGAAAGTGAAAACGTTGTACTTGCTGCCCTCCAATTCAATTAAATTTGATACAAGATTTAACAGTGCAGGATTTCAAAGACTAGGAGAAAACATTGGCTTTGACTTTACTCTGAATAAATGTACCTGACATCATCTGGAATATACAACAGTAAAGGACACCTTGTGTGTCATCATTTAGATGTTCATTTAAAAAGAATACAACCTTTGTACAGTGCCAAGGTGTGTAATTGTTACCTTTAATGGCAAATCTACACAGATAAACAGAACCAAGGACACTGTTAGGTTGCTGATTACCTTTGCTGCCATTTAAAATCTGAAGAACATTTGCTTAATTAAAAAATAAAAAGCATCTAAGTCTTGTTTAGATTATTTTTCATTTTTTAGAGATTGAAAGTCCTTCTATTAATTGATGAAGTTATGTGAATGTGTTGATGAAGTTATGTAACTGTGTCCCAAGAACACTAGAAATACTTAAAAAACCTAATACACTTTTTTTTTTTTGCTTGTAAAATTTTAAGCTTATTCTTTTTGTCATTCTGTAAGGAAAACAAACCAAAAAATCACTCTCACAGCCAGGACCTTGTATGCCATGTTTCATCCCAGCCAGGAGATTGATAGGCAAGTTATAAACCCCTGAAATAGTGGTTTATAATGGAAATGCTGGCAGCCCTTTAACTATAGCAGCACAAGCAGTACAGCAATAAATACTGTGCTTCATCTGTAAACAGAAATTTAGGATGCAGTTTGCAGCCTTGACCTTCAGGCTCCAACTGTGTTTAGATCATTAAGATTCCATAAATACTGTAATTTACAGCCTTCTGAAGGAAGAATTTGTGTGCACAGTAAAGGACGTATTCTTCATGAAAAAATGATTGCTTCCTGTATACCCATTTGGACTCATATTCTCAACCTCAATCAAAGCACTTGACAAATTTGCTGAAGTTTTAGGCATCATTTTTAGCCTTGTGTTTGTCCTAATTCACAGCTCTCTGGATCTATACTGTGTTTTCTGTCCTAGAACTTGAATTAAAAAGAAAGGTGTTTTTTTCTTTATTGCAGGAGTGTTGCAACCTTCCTGTGCTTCTCCACTACAGGGGAACTGATACATCTTTTATATATCTTTTTTTTTCTATAGCTTGCACACACATTCCCCTAGCTATAGTCTTTTACTGTATATAGGTCCTTAAGACAATAAATGCCTCATTCCAGTCAATGTCATGGGGCAATATTTGGGCATAATTGATACATTTTGCATCTATAATGAGAAGTAATATAATCAGACTTACTAGCAGAATTCAAATTGCTATTTTTTTTAATAATTGGATTAGGATATTTGACTAAATTTAAGTAATCATGATTGACATTGGCAGGTTGTTCAATACAGTAGATGCTGTAGTTTTGATGCTCATTCCTCTTACCTGAACTTCCTGACATTGAACTGCAAATTTGACAACAGCACGTTCCCCATGATCTCTATTTCCAGCTGAGCTGGAAATACACAAGTACAGCTTTAATCAGGGTATTTTAGTCTTATCCAGAAATTTAGGCAGAATGAAAAATAATAGGTTGAGGAATATCCTGCTTTGCAAAAGTTACCCTGGGACTTGATTTGGGGTTAGGAAAAAATTGCTGAGTTTTGTTGTACCTGAAGTATTTCTTTGATTCCCAGTGGTAACCCTGGGTAGATTTTCTATTTTCAGAACAAATTTCTAGGCATAAAATAGGATTGCTGTTGGTATTTTTCATTTATTTCTCTTTGTTTCTCATAGCGTAATCACAATACTGATAATTATTTGGATTTATAATTTGCCATTATTTTAATGGAATAATCAGTAGAAATCTGTTTCTCACCTTTAGCCATTTCTTGCTTTCCACTCTTTCAATGTGTACTTGTATGGAACAATGGAACATTTCTGTGTGTTTTCTGATGACCATATTTTGCTACTAAAAGTAATAATCATAGATTACACATCTACAAGGTAAATGTAAGAACAGAGGCTTTGTTACTTTGTGTGAAAAAACCCACATTGAAGCATATTGTCCTCTCCATGAGATGTTCAGCCTCACCAGAGCCATAAAAAGAGTCCATAAATATTGATCATGTCATGCTTTTGCATGCTTTTCCCTCTAGAGCAATACTGACCAAAACACTGGCACCAGTATCAGGGATAGCAACACAGTGTGGATCTTCCTGGTGTTCAGAAATACTGAGTTCAAATCTTGTGTTTGCCTAGGCTCAGTGAGAGGGTTCTCTCTGTTTATTGTATATTTTGTTGTACTTCTTATATTTGCTGATTCCCAGAGCTTCTGCCACCTGTCAGCTCTGCCAGGTCTGTGTGTGCACTCCTTAGGTACTCACAGGGAGCCTCCCCCTGTGCTGAAGGGCAGAGCTCTTCAGTGCACAATAATACTGAAAAAAATGAGATAACAAAGCAAACTTCATGGAGTATCAGGCATGGCCCACTCAGTGCAGGGAGATCTCCAGTCTCAGGGAAAGTGTCACATTTCTTAAGCTCCAGGTCTAACTTTCAGGTATGCTGTTGATACCAGATGAATCCAGTAGTAACCATGCAGAATTTCCTAGAATCCCCTGGGATGCTTCCCCAAAATTTTCAAACCTAAGAGAGTCATTAAAATCACAGCTTGTGCCCTCAGTATTTAAAATTAAAGCCAAAAAGAGGCGTACAAGGGCTCAGGCTGTCATTTCTGCTCCAGTTAGGTGCATTTTATTCTTAATAGACCCTTGCCTAAGGATCAGTTATGTCCTGATTGGCAGTTCTTTCAACAGTTTTGTAAAAAAGTCAAAGTCAACATGTGTAAAATCTTTCTTTTAAATGTTTTATCTTAGCATGCCAAGTTTATCCTGTCCATTAAGGCTCTGTGCATCTGCCACCACTATTTATGGAATTTTTACAGGGATGGTTGTGCTTTGTCTAATAGATGTAATTGAGTGCATTGAGTAATAAGTAGGTCAAAAACAAGGATTTTGAAAGCAATCTGCGTCTTCAGCAAAGACCTCCAGCAGTTTTTATTGCTCATTTGTATCAGTTAAACTTCTTCCTTTTGCTTCTTTTCATCACAGATACCCAAGTGTGGCATTAACACTTCGTTGGGCTAAAGAATTACAACAAATGGGTGCATTTTAATGCACTGAACAAAATACTGGCAGTAAGCAAAGATAGATTGTGCAGCCTGAATTTGACATAATGAAATGAAAGAACAGTCAAAAGGTGTTTTCAGTGCCATTCAAAAAAGGCGACTTGCATCGCTGCTGAACTCCTGCCACTCAAGTGTGTGTTGTTCACCAGAACAAATATTTTCCTTTCAGATTGAGATTTGTTATGTACATTCCTGACATGTGTATATTCCACAGGATTTATTTCTGCTTTGCTGCTAAACTGCAGCAGATTCTCAGGTTTCAAAATACACATGCCCTAAGACTCTAGTTTCCAGAGATATGTTTAGTAGGAAAATTAAAGAGCTTATTATATCTCCACGTGTAAACAATCTGCTCACTGGATTTACAGAGGATGAGCATTAAAGATGCAAATATCCTGCTAATCTTAAAGAGTAATGTGGGTAAACATGGAGTGCAATGTCACCTGC